TCTCCAGGGGTGGATGGAGGAAAAGCTGCAGCGGCTGCTTTCTGGTGCTGCTGCCAGAGCCAACCAGGTTTCTGCGGTTCAAGGATGGGCTGGTACAGGAATGAGCCAAGAGGAAGGAGAGGAAGAGGTTGTGGGCACATCTATGCAAAAAGCATCGATCTTGGAGCTGCCCCTTGGTCCAGATGTCTTTTTGGTGGCCAGCAGCGCTGGCCATTCGCAGAGCTCAGCAGCCCTGGCGTGGTCATCCAGTGGTGGATGGTGGCGGTGGACATACTCCACAGCCCCTTGGCACCAAACACTTTGCCGCAGGGGTCCCGGCACGAGGTGAGCGGGGCTGGCAGCACGTTGTCCCCAGATGCCTTAAATTGGGACAGCACAGAACTGCAGAACCACCTAACCCCATGATGGGCTCTCCAGCCTTTAACAACGTCTCCCAACTTCTTCCCTTGTGGTGTGTGAGAACTTAAAACAGCATCTACGGATGCAGCCATGGCCACCCTTCACCAGCACAACCCTCAACCTGCCCTCCCAATACCCATGGTGCCTCTTCTCTACCCACTCCTCGATGAAGCCGTAGCTCCTCCATCAGCCCCTCTTCTTCACCCAGTGGCATCTTCACAGGTGGCTCCACACCGAAGGCTTTAGGATGCTCTGCAGCATCAACCGTCCCAGTGCCTGACGGTGCCTCAGGGCTCCCTCCCCATGGCCAGATCCATAGGAGCAGTGGTACTGTCCCCATATCCCGCTGTGGGGACTCTTCCTGCAGGGAAGCATGTAGCTGTCCTGTTGCATCCACTGCAAGGAATGGCTCAGCTGAGGCAGTGCATGGAGCCTGGGCAGCGTCCACCAGCTCCTCCTGCTCTTCCAGCTGCTCCTCTCCCTGACACTGGCCAGGAGGGAAACGTCCCCCAAGGCAGTCCCCCGGTATGAAGCCATGTGAGGATGCACCAAGCCACCCTGTGCAATCCCCACGGAGAGGAGGATGAAGAGTAGGTCTGTGCCACGCAGCACACCGACAAGGGCAGTGACACGCTGGGGGTGGCCTCGTCCATCAGAAACACAGGGCTGGCCTTGCTGAGGGGCACAGATGCAGCACAGAGACCCCCAGAGCTGTTGGTAAATACCCCCCAGCCAGGCTGCCAGGCCCATGGGGCCAATCCTGCTGCTGGTCCCTTGTGGTACAGCCAGGCTGGGGTCTGCTCCTTCAGTCCAGGTGGCCGTGGCACTTCAGGTCCCCCTCCTCCTCCTCCCCGCAGCAGAGACAGCATCCATCTGTCTGTCCATCTGTGGTTTCAGCC